TTTCCCTCCACCAGAAAAAGCTGGAAAATAAACAATAGTATTATATTTATTTTTTGCATTAAGTTTTAAAGGGGGTTGTAACAAAAAATTGCTTTTTTTAAATAATGTTTTTTTCTTTCTACAACCCCTTTGTTGGGTAAAAATTTAAAGAAGGTACTTTTAACATAAACAAAATGGAAAAAAATTGGAATAAAGATAGAAAAAAAATTTATGAACCAAAAGGGACTTTGGGTAAAATAAAAAAGAATTTTGGTTTTCAAAAAAACCAAAGTCTTTAAAAAACTTTTAAATAAATTTTTTCCTAAAAATTAAAACTTTAAAAAGGGTGTTTTGGCAAAAAGAAAAAAATTCTTAAAAAGTTTTTAATTTTTTTAAATTTTTGGGGGGTTTCCAAAAAGGGAAAGTAAATTTAAAAATAAAGGGTAACAATTTTACTTAAAATAAATCCGTCAAAAAAACCAAAGTTTATAAAAAAAAAAAACAAAAGCGGGTTTTAAAAATTTTTTGGAAATTATTACAAAAAAAAATTTTGGCCCTGTCGTCCCTACAAATTTTTTTGTAAATATAAAAACATTTAAAATTTAAACCCTAACTAATTGCTGTTTGGGAATACCCGCCCAAATAAACTGTGAAATAGCGTCCCAAAGGTTTTAAAGTCTTCATTTTGTATTTAAAATTTGATACAGATTTTAAATTTTCCCGGGGGGGTTTCCTTTTAAAATTTCCTTTTTATAAACCCAATATTTAAATTTTTCAAAAAATTTTTTAAAAAATTAATAAAAATTTAAATTTTGGGTTTTTAAGGCTGAGGGAAAAATATTTTAATATTTTTTTAAATGGTTTTAACTTTTTTTTTTATAAAAAATTTTCACAAATTAATTGCCTTTTAACAAAAAAAATTTAATCCCTTTTTAAAATTTGCCTGTTCCCCAAGTATACGAACCGGTCTTTTTTTTAATATTTCATGACTTTCTTTTTAAAAAAATTGGGTAATTAAAAAAAATGGATTTTTATTTAAATTTCATAAAATTTCAATACAAAAAATTTGTAATTTAAATTTAAATTACTGTGTATTGAAGTGCATCCAAAATTTCACAGTTTTTTGATTACAAGATATGTTGTGGAGTTTATTCCCAAAAACAATCTTGTTACCCAATGAAAAAATTTATATTATTTTTCAAAATTTTTGCTAAAAAATTTTAATTTTTTAATTTATTTTTTTTTAATGAGTCTTTTAAAAGTAAAAAGGGCAGCACATTTTTCTCTACAATTTTAAAAAGGGCACGTTCCATTTGTTTTTTCTGGAAATGGCCCAATTAAAGGTTTGATTGTTTAGGGAGAAATTTTTTTTTGATATAAAAAAGAGTTTAAATAGAAATTTAAATTACTGGTTCCCCTATTTAGGGAAAGAAAAAAAGGTTTCTGTCAAAAAAGGGAAATGAGGATCAGGGAAAAAGTTTGTTTGGGTTAAAAATTTTTCGGGAAAAATTTCCCTTTTTTTAAAAATTGAAATTGGTTTGGGGAATTTTTTTTAAATTTTTTGGTTTTTTATGAGTTTTTGGAAAATTTAAAAAAAAGTATAAGAAAAATTTGGATAACCTTTTGGAAAATTAAAAAGAATTTTGTTTCAATGTTTTTAAAGGTTTTTTTTGACGTTTTTCAAAATTTAAATTTTAAAAAATTTTGTTAATTGGTAAAATTTGGGAAAGTTTTTTTTTTTGGACCCCCGGGTTGAAAAAATGTTATTAAAATTAAATGTATTGGGGTTTTTTCCATAAATGAAATTAAAATTTTCCCAAAATATTTTTTAAACAGTATTGGGCAAAAAAAAAAACCCCCCGAAAAAAAATTTAATGATAAAATGTTTTTTAATTTTTCCCGGGGGGTGGGTCTTTGGCCCCAAATTAAACTTGCTTTTTAACCCTTGCCCCTATTTGCAGAAAAATTAGGCAATTAAAGTCAAAATTTGTAAAGTGAAAGGATCCCTAAAGGAAAAATTTTTTTTACGTGTTAGCAAAGTTTTTCTTAATACTAAATGAAATGGATTGAAATTTACACACTTTTTCTGTGTGCTTTATTTCATAAATCGCACAAGTCCTATAACTTTTGATTTCCCTTTTTTCCCTTTTTATGCTTTCTTATTTTTTAGAAATTTTTGGGGTTTTTTGCGGTGTCAGGGGGTAATTTCCAAAATAATTAAAAAGGTTTTTGGGTTTTTTTTTTTTAAACCCAATTTTTAAAATGCTTTCCCCAAATTTAATCCATTTGTTTTTATTTTGAATGAAAAACCCCTTTTATTAAAAAACCCCTTTTGGGTTGTGTTTTTGGGAAATAATTTTTATGTATTCATTAAGGAAAACATTTTACCCCCAAAAAACCCCCTTGGGTAAATTTTTAAAGCATTGCTGTCCACTAAACACTCTTTTTAAATAAATGAAAGGGACAGGGTTCCTAAAAATCAAAAATATCATCAACTTTTTTAAAGGGTTTTAATTAATTTTATAAAAAAATTTAGGTGGAAGCATTTTTAAATTTAAATGTTTTTATTTTCTCATATAGCCAGAGTTTTAACAGACTTGCTAATTATTTAGCGGATTTTTGGACATCAAGTTCAGGGTGTATTAGCTTGTCAGGAAAGATACCATTAATCTTGAGGGGATTGCTGGGTAAGTTTATAATTTATCATACTATTATAATATTAGGGGGTGGCAGGGATAGGTTGTGATGTCAGAAAATTATAGTAGTCCTTTAAACCAACAGGTGACAAGATGATTTTTTTGTGCCCCCCACGTTAGTGGCGGGCATTTACACTTTTGTGTCGCACGTAACTCAAAAAGTATTTGACCTAGAGTCATGAAACTTACAGGAATGTTGATCAGCATGTGTAGTTGTGCACCTGGGTATTTTCGTCTGGATATTTTTAGTATTTTCAGAGTTATTGCCCTTGACTTAGTAAAAAAATTTTGCAATTTTTCAACTTGTGTCGCATGTAACTCCAAAAGTATTTGACCTAGAGTCATGAAACTTTACAGGAATGTTGATCAGCATGTGCAGTTGTGCACCTGGGTATTTTCGTCTGGATATTTTTTAGTATTTTCAGAGTTATTGCCCTTGACTTAGTAAAAATTTGGCAATTTTCAACTTGTGTGGCATGTAAACTCCAAAAGTATTTGACCTACAGTCATGAAACTTTACAGGAATGTTTGATCAGCATGTGTAGTTGTGCACCTGGGTATTTTCGTCTGGATATTTTTAGTATTTTCAGAGTTATTGCCCTTGACTTAGTAAAATTTGGCAATTTTCAACTTGTGTCGCATGTAACTCCAAAAAGTATTTGACCTACAGTCATGAAACTTTACAGGAATGTTGATCAGCATGTGTAGTTGTGCACCTAGGTATTTTGGTCTGGATATTTTTAGTATTTCAGAGTTATTGCCCTTGACTTAGTAAAATTTTGCAATTTTCAACTTGTGTCGCATGTAACTCAAAAAGTATTTGACCTAGAGTCATGAAACTTTACAGGAATGTTGATCAGCATGTGTAGTTGTGCACCTGGGTATTTTCGTCTGGATATTTTTAGTATTTTCAGAGTTATTGCCCTTGATTTAGTAAAATTTTGCAATTTTCAACTTGTGTCGCATGTAACTCTAAAAGTATTTGACCTAGAGTCATGAAACTTTACCGGAATGTTGATCAGCATGTGTAGTTGTGCACCTGGGTATTTTCGTGTGCATATTTTTAGTATTTTTAGAGTTATTGCCCTTGACTTAGTAAAATTTTGCAATTTTTAACTTGTGTCGCACATAACTCAAAAAAGTATTTGACCTAGAGTCATGAAACTTTACAGGAATGTTAATCAGCATGTGTAGTTGTGCACCTGGGTATTTTCGTCTGGATATTTTTAGTATTTTCAGAGTTATTGCCCTTGACTTAGTAAAATTTTGCAATTTTCAACATGTGTCGCACATAACTCAAAAAGTATTTGACGTAGAGTCATGTAACTTTACAGGAATATTGATCAGCATGTGCAGTTGTGCACCAGGTATTTTCGTCTGGATTTATTTAGTATTTTTAGAGTTATTGCCCTTCACGTAGAAAATTTTTGCAATTTTCAACTTGTGTCGCAAGTTTCTCAAAAAGGATTTGACATAGTCAATAAACCTTATAGGCAGGTTGCTCAGCATATTTTAGATTTGCACCTGGGGTTTGGCTTGTGGATTTATCCAGTATTTGTAGAGTTATTTCCCTTGACTTAGTAAAAAGATTGACAGAACAGTGTCGCGGTGGGGGCACCCGTGTCCTATGGACACATTTCTAGTTAACTCCACATTTAGCTTCAGAAATGAAGAAATTCTTTCATTCTGTAGTGGTAATATATGTTGTATATAATGGTTATGTGAAATTATTTGTTGTATAGGTAGCAAAATGAATGTTAGCAGTGTCTGTATAATGAATAAATAATGACAACTAATTATAATTACTTTTGCAAATTCAAAGTTCTGATTGCAAATAGTTATGCAGGGCTCTCTATAGGGTTAGTCCAACAAACTGTTGTACTGTAACTTTAACTAGAATGATAACAGAAAAATGGAATTAAAGTGATATATAGATAAATTAACCATGGAGATCAAAAGAAAAATGTAATTAAAGTGATATAAAGAAAAATGTAACCAGAGTGATCAAAAGAAAAATGTAATTAAATTGAGATACAATATAGAAAAATGTAACCAGAGTGATAAAAAGAAAAAAATGTAATCAAAGTGATATATAGAAAAAATGCAACCAGTGATAAAAGAAAAATGTAATTAAAGTGATATATAGAATAAAAGCAACCAGAGTGATCAAAAGGAAAATGTCATTAGAGTGATATGTATATATAGAAAAATGTAGTGATAAATAGAAAAAAATGCAACTAGAGTGATCAAAAGGGAAACAATGTTATTAGAGTGATATAAAAATGTAACTTTTAAATATAATATTTTGTGACAATTTATTTAAAGGAAGAGGATTATCCATCTATTGTACTGGGAGTGTTTGTGGAGCATCCAACACCATTTCTTAGAGAAGCCTTACAGAAGATTGCAGCATTAGATTATCCTAAACAGAAAATTGATTTCTTTATTCATTCATCAGTGAGTGAGCATCTCTTATACTAGATAAACTTGTATTTCTTATTAATTCCATTTTTAGCTCAACTTTTTTTCAAAAGAAAAAAAAAATAGAGGTATTGTTACAGTCATGGTGGCATTCCTGTCTGCAAACTTCAACCTTGATCATTACGTTTTAAGTTATTGGTGCATTAACCATCTAAAATATAAGAATTTAAAGTTATTTTTTATATCTTTATATGGTAGCCCTGGTTTATTTGTATATAATATGTAAGCCTAATTAATTAAGCATGAACGTTTTGACTTATTTAGCTAACTTTTTTTCCTACTGCCAAACTGTTGAACATTGCAAAAAAGACATCCCGCAGTCAAAAAATATGATGTCTCTTTTACAAGTCTAATTACTCTGACTAATTTTATGTACAGTCAGTTAGTACATAGAGGATATTGAATGAGTGTAAGTTCAATACTGAATTTATTGCACGAGTTGAATAAAATTATATTATGCGAGCCTCTGGCGAGCATAATATTATTTTATTCAACGAGTGCAATAAATTCAGTAATGAACTTACACGAATTTAATATTCTATTTATCACATACCCAAAAATAAAGACCGTTTAAAGTGAAATAAGAGTCATTTTTCATTGACGCGTCTATAGTATAACGCTAACATTTAGCGCGTCTTTACACTATGTTTGTATAACGCTAATGACGTCACGTCAAAATATATGCAAGGCCGTGCAATACCATATTTACGGAGTCACAAAATCGGCATGGGTGTGTGATAAATGTATATACGCTATAACAAGGTGTGTTATCTACAGGATATTGTTAATATATTGATTAACTTATTTTTAATTTATTTATCTACTGTATGAACTAACTTCATGACTGTTTCTCATTTTGTATTTTTATTTTCAGTTAAGAAATCACCAGAATGAGATAGATTTATTCTTGAACAAGGTTGGAATATTGTACAAGTCTGTCAATACTATAGGTTCATATGACAGTATTGGTGAAGCAGCAGCCAGGAACTGGGCCATGTAATACATATATATATATAATTATTATATACTTATAAATGAAATATTGAAAAATATCTCAAGTGTCAATGTGAGTTAAAGTCCAACTGAATAAAATGAATAAAAGTTCTGTAACTTTAGGAAGCAATTATCAAGCATACTAATCAGTGACTAAAATACCTGCTGGTGTTTGAGTTATTTAATGTTTTGAGTGAACACAAGTGACTGTCCTTCCAATTGATAGCTGGAAAATTACCTGATGACCATTACAGGCAATCTTTGACTTGAAATACTACCAAATTAAATTCTCAGCATTAAAATGGGCAAAATGTCACTTCACTTGAAATAGTACCAAATTAAATTCTCAGCATTAAAATGGGCAAAATGTCACTTCACTTGCCATGGGTTTTATATTGATTTGTTTGTTTCTAGAGAAGAATGTATAAAGAAAGATTGTCAGTATTTCTTCAACGTGGATGGTGATGTTCATCTTGAAAATGATCAAACATTAAAACTATTGATACATCAGAACAGGTGAGACAAGTTTACATTCAGAAAATAGACGTCAAGTTTGGTTTATACAAATTTATTTTAGTTCGATTGTGTTGGAAGCTATAAGCTTATTGAAACACTCTTGAATCTGTTCCTGGAACCAAACAGTACTAAGCAATGAATGTAAAGTTTCTTGCTCAAGGAAACAACCGCTTGCCCCTGGCAGGGTTTGAACCCACGCTGTAAGCAATCCTTAGATTACTAGTCCGACGCGTTAACCACTCGGCCACGCCGCCACTCAGACGTCAAGTTTGAATGGATTGTTGAAGAGTAATGCATGGTTGGTGCTCAAATTAGCAATAAAACATCAATTACTATTTTTAGTAGATCCAGGTGATAAATGACTAAGCATGTGAAAGATGAACCATGTATTACTCTGCTACAACACAAGAAATATTCATATCTATTTCCAATTTAATATGCTAATAGAAAGAGAACTGATAAAAATATGTTGAATTTCATTACACGAAGAAGTTATTTTCAAAACATGATTTGGTTCATTGAAATAAAACTAACAATTTTCAGTAGTCACACATACATGTATATAAATGATAAAAATGCCTCATAGATATTGATATCAGACGAAACAAAAATTGATGTCTGACAAAAGTCAGTGTAGAACAAAAAAAAAAAATGGATTTTGACAGTGTTATATATTTAATATATATTTCTGAAATATTGTATTAATTGGGGAATGTAGAAGGACTACTACATTTTGATCATTTCTTTACAGACAATTAATAGCCAGACATTATATATTTGTATATTTCAGATCAGTTTTAGCTCCAATTGTTACTAGACGTGGTAAGGCGTGGTCTAATTTCTGGGGAGCTCTCAGTGCCACAGGTTTCTACGCTCGGTCGGAAGACTACATGGATATTGTTCATGGTGATAAAATGTAAGATATAAAAACTTGTTCATTTATTTCTTTAAACTCACAAATCTGAGTGAAGGTCACGACAAACATATGTCATCAGGTTAACTTTTTACTACATGAGCATATTGTGAAAAATGGCTGTTTTCATTGAAAAGCCTCCTGTTACAAGTTCAAACTGCTATGAAACTATGAAAAATGCTTCAATAGTGAAGAAACTTGGCACAAATGTTGACTTGACCATAGCCTCTGTAACAGCATGCTCAATCTTAAATTTCCTGTTACCATGGCAACTGGGGGGACGTCTCAAAATTTCCAAAAATCACTATTTTGCATTGTATTTCCTTCAAAACTGATTTCAAAGTGCTGCAACTTCTCAATGGATTGAGATAGAGTAAAAGCCTTTTCAGCGTTGGTTACACGTTACCTTACAATTGACCTGAAGCCATTTTTAGCCTGTCACATGTCAAAAATTTTCTTGGCAAACCCCCGAAACAGAAGGGGTCACATCCCCAATCTGGCAACCCCTTGATGAACCTTTTGAATAGGGGTGGCACCGAAAAAGTGATAACTTTTTTTATCAACATTACTCAAACAAAAAACAGTGTTTGGGCCTAAATAGGACATTTTTTTCACTGTTTTAGGCCTTAACAGGCGGGGGGGGGTGTTTGGTTGAAAAGCTGTCAAAACACTTCTTTATGAGATTAAGGGTTAAACCAGACAGGGCTTTTTAACCCATAATAATAAATGCAGGATAACAGTTCAGTTTTAAGGCATAATATTTGTTGCACATAATTTCAGTGAAAGATATTTGTTCCTTAAATTCTCATTGTTTAAGTTTTTCTTCTGTAATTTTAAGTCAGAAGTAATTATTTCATTAATAAGTATATAATGAATGTAAAATTATAATATAAGGAATATAAAAAGCTGTTTTAAGTTTATTTTAATCTTAAACCTTTAACTGGTGGCTGTTTGTGCCTGTAATAATGCACAGAGCCGCACCTGAGGTCAGTAAGCTGGAAAGTTGCAATATGACCTCTACTTTTTTGGTGCAACATAAAACCCTACATCAACAAAAGTGAACTTTAATGGAAATAATATAGACGTTTGACATTAAAGATTGAGAAATTATAATTCATTTACATTCTTTATGTTGATTTTTTCCCCTATCTTTTTTTACAGTGGATTATGGAATGTTCCATATTTGACAGGGGTGTATCTGGTGCAAGCACATGTTTTACCTGCATTGAGAAATGGGTATGACTCTGACAGTCTGGATGCTGATATGGCATTATGTAAAACTTTGAGAGAAAAGGTATACACACAGCTTAAACCTTAACCTGCTGGTAGTGATACTTTGCCACCAGTTTGTAACCAGACCTGCTGGTACTGATAATTATTGAGCCTTCCAACCAGTCTGGAATCAGAACTGCTGGAGTGCTGGTACTGATAATTATTAAGGTTTCCCTCCAGTCTGGAATCAGAACTGCTGGTACTGATAATTATAAAGCTTTCCCTCCAGTCTGGAATCAGAACTGCTGGTACTGATAATTATTAAGGTTTCCCTCCAGTCTGGAATCAGAACTGCTGGTACTGATAATTATAAAGCTTTCCCTCCAGTCTGGAATCAGAACTGCTGGTACTGATAATTATTAAGGTTTCCCTCCAGTCTGGAATCAGAACTGCTGGTACTGATAATTATAAAGCTTTCCCTCCAGTCTGGAATCAGAACTGCTGGTACTGATAATTATTGAGCTTTCCCTCCAGTCTGGAATCAGAACTGCTGGTACTTATAATTATAAAGGTTTCCCTCCAGTCTGGAATCAGAACTGCTGTTTTATAGGAGCTTCCATTCTCAAGTGGTTATGGTTTCTTATTTTGTACTAGTTGCCCCTCACTACAGAAGGTTGAATTTTAGCTGGAGATTTTTTGATAATTTTCTGTAAAGAACCTGTCCAGCTTGCAAACAGATGGTTGGTTGTTCTACATAGGTGCCAAATAAAAACATGTAAAGATTTAAAGTCACCATTTAATCTTTAAAATGCTTTATAAAGAAAATGTACATAAATTATTTTCTGAAATTTTTAATTTTCAATTAATGTATGATAAATGAATTCAGAAGATTCTTGTTATTTGACTCGATAAGCACAGACACAAAAAACACTCATTTTTAGTTGATGACAACAAATTTCATGCTCTAGATAAATAATACCATTGTATAATTTTATAAAAGTGTTTCTATTGTATTGCTTTATAATTGTGTTTATATTGGATAACATTATAAATTCACCTTGTATTACTTTACAAATGTGTTTATTTTGTATTATTCTATATAAAGTCACCTTGTATTACTTTATAAATGTGTTTATTTTGTATAACTCTATAAATTCACCTTGTATTACTTTATAAATGTGTTTATTTTGTATTATTCTATAAATTCACCTTGTATTACTTTATAAATTTGTTTATTTTGTATAACTCTATAAATTCACCTTGTATTACTTTATAAATGTGTTTATTTTGTATTATTCTATAATTCACCTTGTATTACTTTATAAATTTGTTTATTTTGTATAACTCTATAAATTCACCTTGTATTACTTTATAAATGTGTTTATTTTGTATTATTCTATATAAAGTCACCTTGTATTACTTTATAAATGTGTTTATTTTGTATTATTCTATATAAAGTCCCTTGTATTACTTTATAAATATGTTTATTTTGTATTATTCTATAAATTCACCTTGTATTACTTTATAAATATGTTTATTTTGTATTACTCTATAAATTCACCTTGTATTACTTTATAAATTTGTTTATTTGTATTACTCTATAAATTTCACCTTGTATTACTTTATAAATGTGTTTATTTTGTATTACTCTATAAATTCACCTTGTATTACTTTATAAATTTGTTTATTTTGTATTACTCTATAAATTCACCTTGTATTACTTTATAAATGTGTTTATTTTGTATTACTCTATAAATTCACCTTGTATTACTTTATAAATTTGTTTATTTTGTATTATTCTATAAATTCACCTTGTATTACTTTATAAATGTGTTTATTTTGTATTATTCTATATAAATTCACCCTTGTATTACTTTATTAAATTTGTTTATTTTGTATTATTCTATATAAATTCACCTTGTATTACTTATAAATGTGTTTATTTTGTATTATTCTATATAAAGTCACCTTGTATTACTTTATAAATGTGTTTATTTGTATTATTCTATATAAAGTCACCTTGTATTACTTTATAAATATGTTTATTTTGTATTACTCTTATAAATTCACCTTGTATTACTTAACAGATGTGTTTATTTTGACATTTCAGGGTTATTTTATGTTTATTTTGACATTTCAGGGTTATTTTATGTTTTTATTTTATGTTTATTTTGACATTTCAGGGTTATTTTATGTTTATTTTGACATTTCAGGGTTATTTTATGTTTTTATTTTATGTTTATTTTGACATTTCAGGGTTATTTTATGTTTATTTTGACATTTCAGGGTTATTTTATGTTTATTTTGACATTTCAGGGTTATTTTATGTTTATTTTGACATTTCAGGGTTATTTTATGTTTGTTTTGACATTTCAGGGTTATTTTATGTTTATTTTGACATTTCAGGGTTATTTTATGTTTGTTACAAACAGGAAAGAGTTTGGTTACCTGATCAACTCAGATGGAGCACAGACTGGTAGACTTCATATTGAATTATGGGAAATATTTAATAACCCGTACGATTGGGAGAAACGATACATACACCCAAATTACTCACACAGTTTAGCAGAAAATGCTGTCATAGAACAGGTAATGGCAATCATTAATCATTTTGAAATTTTAATTTGAATACATTCCTTGTCCAGTAAGAACACATGTTACGACAATGGTAAGGTTTACAATAGTATGTCTAGTTTTGTGTTCCTCTGTCATATAACTTACACGGAGAAGTTGGCAAGTAATTATAGAAAAAATAATTAACTTCTAGTATTAAGTCTATCTGCATTTTTCCAGGCCTTTTTGGTCGTGGAGTTAAAGTAGTGGACTGTGAACCACTTGCCCCTAGTGGTTTGAATCTTTCCAAGAACTTAAAGAGTTCATTTAAGTGAAGAAGTTGTAAAGAAGATTGTTTTACTCAGGTACCAGCATGTGCCTGAAGAAACATTTTGTTGTGTGAATATATGTCAATAAATAATAATGACTGGAATACTATTAAACAAGTTTGAAACTCAACAAAATAACTATCCTTTTAAAAAGTATGAACATGAATATTGTTCATATATTTACAGCCATGTCCTGATGTTTTCTGGTTCCCGGTAATGACAGAAGTGTTTTGTGATGAGATAGTAGCAGAGTTAGAAAATGTTCAACATGTGGTCGGGGGGCAAGAGCGAGGTATGTTTTGAGCCGCTTCAGGACAAAACCAAGATAATGAGTTTGCGACCAGCATGGATTCAGATCAGGATCCATGCTGTTTGCTTACAGACCCTATAACAAGTAGAGAAACTGATAGTGAATAGCATGGATCCTGATCAGACTGTGCAGATGCGCAGGCTGGTCTGGATCCATGCTGGTTGCAAACCCATTATGTTGGTTTTGTCATGACGCCACTCATTTGTTATTCTGTTTTATCTTGTATTCCTTAAAGATCATTAATTTCACCATTATTTATTTGCTATGGTAATCAGTAAAGATGATATTATAACTTATGAAAACATAAAACTGTTTAATGATAAACTGTAATACATGTAAAATAAATAACTGGATTTTGTTTATCGGCATTTGATAAATGAGTAATTTTAAAAATATCAAATTTGGCTGTATGTTTTAATTAAAAATTTGTAGTGTATAACAATACATTAAGTTAACTGATAGCTGTAAAAAGCTTGAGTTTATTTTTTGCTCTATTAAATTAAAGATTATCCTGCTGTAACCCAAATTGTTGAGCCCTTGTCACCAGTATAGAGCCAGTGTGCAGTCTGACCAGGCTTAATTTTATATATTTTAATATTAAAATCCCTTAAATTTCATTGACTTTGAAATTCAAAACCTGACAAAATCATTCCATAAATTTGGCAGATTATTAATTTGATTTCATGATAATTGGTCAATAATTGGTTAAAATGGTTTAATACATTTGTAATTTGGTTAATAATTGTTGTTAATTGGTTAATAATTGGTTGATAACTGTTTTCTTGTAAAAATAAAGTATTGATTAAATAGAGTATTATTTTAGGATACTAGGTTAGCCGGTGGTTACGAGAATGTTCCTACTGACGATGTCCATATGACACAGATTAACCTACAGAATCAATGGCTGGAATTCTTACGTGTTTATGTAGCTCCCCTAGCAACCAAAGTTTATCCTGGATACTATAGTAATGTAGGAATACTGAAAGTTGTTAATGCATGTTTTGATGCTTGACATTGCTAGCTCTTGCATCCCCTCCCCCTACTTACCCTCATTAACAAAACTATCATCTTCGTCTCTAGGATGTATTCCAGCATGTCAGATTAGGAGCCTGAATTTCTACTTGCCTTTTTAGCTCACCTGTCACAAAGTGACAGGGTGAGCTTTTGTGATCGCTTTCGTCCGGCTTCCGGCCGTCGTCCGTAAACTTTTACTTTAAATGACATCTCCTCATAAACCACTAGGCCAATTTCATCCAAACTTGATGTTCCTTTGGTGGTCACCTTTAAAAATTGTTCAAAGAATTTAATTCCATGCAGAACTCTGGTTGCCATGGCAACTGAAAGAAAAAACTTTAAATATCTTCTTTTAAAAAACCCTAAGAGCTAGAGCTTAGATATTTGGCATGAAACATCTTCTAGTGAGTGTCTACCAAGTTTGTTCAAATAAAAGCCCTGGGGTCAAAATTGGCCCCACCCCAGGCGGTCATTGATTTTCCCTATATGCATGTAGTAAAAACTTAAAAAATCTTCTTTTAAAGAACTCAAATAGCTAGAGCTAAGATATTTAGCATCAAACATATAAAATAGGTGTCTACCAAGTTTGTTCAAATAAAAGCCCTGGGGTCAAAATTGGCCCCGCCCCGGGGGTCATTGATTTTCCTTATTCGGTATAGCAAAAACTTAAAATCTTCTTTGAAAAAACCCAAATAGCTAGAGTTTAGATATTAAGCATGAAACATCTTCTAGTAAGTGGCTAAGATATTTAGCATGAAACATGTTGTAAGGGGCGTCTACCAGGTTTGTTCAAATAAAAGCCCTGGGGTCAAAATTTGGGCCCCGCTCCGGGGTCATTGATTTCCCTTATATGTGAATATAGCAAAAACTTAAAAATCTTCTTTTTGAAAAAAACCCAAATAGCTAGAGTTTAGATATTTTAAGCATGAAACATCTTCTAGTAAGTGTCTACAAAAGTTTGTTCAAATAAAAAGCCCTGGGGTCAAAACTGGCCTGCCCCCAGGGGCGTCATTGTTTTTAACTATATGTGTATAGTAAAAACTTAAAAAAAATCTTCTTTTAAAAAGCCAATGAGCCTAGAGCTTTAGATGTTTAGCATGAAACATCTTCTTATGGGTGTCTACCAAGTTTGTTCAAAATAAAAGCCCTGGGGTCAAAATTGGCCCCACCCCAGGGTCATGTGATTTTCCCTATATGCATGTAGTAAAAACTTAAAAATCTTCTTTTAAAAGAACTCAAATAGCTAGAGCTAAGATATTTAGCATCAAACATATAAAATAGGTGTCTACCAAGTTTGTTCAATAAAAAAGCCCTGGGGTCAAAATTGGCCCCGCCCGGGGGTCATTGATTTTCTTATTCGGTATAGCAAAAACTTATAAAATCTTCTTTGAAAAAACCCAAATAGCTAGAGTTTTAGATATTAAGCATGAAACATCTTCTAGTAAGTGTCTACAAAGTTTGTTCAAAAATAAAAGCCCTGGGGTCAAAACTGGCCCCCCCCAGGTGTCATTGTTCTTTAACTATATGTTGTTTATAGTAAAAAACTTAAAAAAACTTCCTTTTAAAAAAGCCCAATGAGCTAGACGCTTAGATGTTAGCATGAAACATCTTTCTCTTGGGTGTGTGTTTGTGTGTGTGTGTGTGGGGGGGGTGGGGGTGGGGTGCTATATAACAGGTGGAGCGACCTCAGGGCCATCATGGCCCTCTTGTTAAATTGCTGTTTAAAAATGTCATAAATTGAGTTGTCCATCTTGTAGAAACTTATATAAAACAAGTCTACCAAAAAAGTTATTAAAGTGAGCCTGTAACAATATAATACTTCTAGACAAGTTATGATGTAAGTTTCTGTGAGATGACAGTGAATGTAAGATTCTTTTGAGCGCATCATGACAAAACCAACATAATGGGTTTGCATCCGCGCAGTCTGATCAGGATCATGCTGTTTGCCTTACAAACCCTATTTAACAAGTAGAGAAACTGATAGCGAACAGCATGGATCCTGATCAGGACTGTGCGGATGCTCCAGGCTGGTCTGGATCCTTGCTGGTCGCAAACTCACTATAGTTGGTTGTCGTGACGCGGCTCATTTATTATCAGAATTTTATGACATGACATAAAAAAAGGAATAGGGGAAATCTTTTGAAAGCAGTGTAAATAAAATTGGAGAGGTAACAAATTGCCAACTTAAGGTGTTTTTTTTCTATATTTGAGGGATTGGTTATTCAAGATATTGGATCTGTCATGCTCTCCAGTGTTAGCTTATGTGGCATTAAATTGTACAATCTGATTTAAGTAATGGAACCAATGATCTTGACTGGAAAAATGTGTCACAGCATCATAAAGTTTTAAACACATGGCAAAAACACCATTTAAATTACATGTTCATAACGGTAATAAGCTATGTCATGTGGTAAATATATTGTTTGTTTCAAAATTAATGAAAAGATTGTCATTTATTATGTAGGTTCACATGTAATATGGGGACAACTTTGTCTCAACCTTCATGTATAATTGCATGATTCTACTTTTTTTTCTGTAACTGTAACATATGTGGTGTTACAACCAGTCATTGTAACAGATGTGGTGTTACAGCAAGTAACTGTAACAGATGTGGTGTTACATCAAGTAACTGTAACATATGTGGTGTTACAGTCAGTAAATAGTAACAGATGTGGTGTTACAGCAAGTAACTGTATCAGATGTGGTGTTACAGCAAGTAACTGTAACAGATGTGGTGTTACAGTCAGTAACTGTAACAGCTGAGGTGTTACAGCCAGTAACTGTAACAGTTGTGGTGTTACAGCCAGTTACTGTAACAGATGTGGTGTTTAAGTCATTCACTGTGACAGATGTTGTGTTACAGTCAGTAACTGTAACAGATGACATGGTGTTACAGCCAGTTACTGTAACAGATGTGGTGTTACAGTCAGTAACTGTAACAGATGTGGTGTTACAACCAGTAACTGTAACAGATGTGGTGTTACAGTCAGTAACTGTAACAGATGTGGTGTTACAGCCAGTTACTGTAATAGATGTGGTGTTACAGCCAGTCACTGAAACAGATGTTGTGTTGCAGCCAATAAATGTAACAGATGTGCTGTTACAGTCATTATCAGAAAAACAAGACATACAATTGTGATGACCACCTTGAACCTTCAGCTACAATTTTCTTGCATGTTTTATGTCAATCGTTCTGTCGCCTTATAGTTGTTTTTGTATGTCAGTTAACCTTAAACTCTTATTACTGACTGTACATTAATATGTGAATACTGAAACAAGCAATAATTGACCGGATTACAAGATTACCTTAAATGTTTAAGAGGTCAAAGATTATCACTGTTAACATATTGAAGTTCAAGGTTACATAATCTTACCTTGTGCATTTAAAGTCAGGTTATTGAGGTCACATTGATGTAACACCGTTACATGGCTTATTACTTTAAAATATTGGGATATACTAGGTGAATATTTCCTAATTATTTTTAGCAAAATTATGTCAATACACAAAATTTACAGCTGGTAAAGGTCAAGGTCATGTCCTATATAACCCTCTTGGTTTCTATATATTCTGCTAAAGTCAGATGGTTTTAGAGACTTTAAATCATTCAAAGATTCCTTTATAAAATCTACAGTAAACCTGTTTCAGTTTCACTAAATGAAATAACTTTTCAAGTATCTTGTACTGTTTCAGTTGTGTCAAAGACAAGGAACCTGAAAAGACTTTTGGTTGGCTGTTATATTAATATATATCAATGGCATATATGCTAGGATTATAATACAGAAAGTAACAGCATGTACAAGCATGTTTGATTATTTCTAGGATGCAAGATTAAGCAGTGGGTACGAGAATGTTCCCACCGATGACATACATATGACACAGATTGATCTGCAAGATGGTTGGCTTGAATTCTTGAGAAAATATGTATCTCCTCTACAGCTAAAAGTTTACCCAGGCTTTTATTCAGATGTGAGTGATCACGTCATGTGACATAGAGTTTATATTTTGTATATCTTTGACTGATAATGATGAGGGTCATTTTATAGGGTTAACGCACGTTTTTCCGTGTTATAACGTCTGCAGAGTCCCGAGGAACGGTTGGTTCCCGAGCCTGGTAGGTCGAGGGCTCCAACAGTTCTGAGAGACTCTGCAGACTTTATAACACAAAATAAACATGCGTTGACGCTATTATAGCATAAAATTTTAAAACAAATTCGTGATGTATAGTTAATACAAAACACAATTACATTAATTTCTTGTGCTTGGACGGTATTTATCCAATTCTACATGTTTTATGTATGCGTTTTATTATTCCGGGGCCAACAACTTGGAAAATTCTCAGAACCGAACAAAATTTCGAATTTTAATTGATTTAACAAATTGATTTTTTTTTCAAGCAAACAAGTTTATAAAAAAAAATTAGGCACTAAGCATTATTCTCTCAAAGAAATATAAAGAGCATTTATCAACATTAACATAAATAAAACAACATTTTCTCATATTCATTTTTTTGTAATCTAGTTTTGTATGTTAATCAGAGTGTTAAACTGAATGACAGGTACTGTATTTGTTTACATTGACAACTGTCCGTTTCTTAGAAAGGGCAACAACCAAGATTAGCAGCGATGTCTATATGCGGTACTTCTGGCATAGTTACTTGAATGCTGCACGTCGTTATGCGATTGGGGCCCTCGAATCAATAATTTCAATATAACAAGAGCGCATGACTCTTTGGCAAACAGTCCAAATCGTCAAATTTTTGTTTGTTTACTGGGCCCTGTATGTATTGCGCATAGGTGAAACCGGGCTATAACAAGAGCGCGTGATTATGTTAACACATGGTTTTGGCCCGTTATAACATGGGCAAAATAGGGGAAAATAGCCGATTTTATGCTATAATAATGAATTTATCGGGAAATAACGAGGATACTGTTCCCGTATCATCTGTACAAATGGCATTGGTATTTTTTTGTTAACATCCATGTTTAAATTATCATCTTTTACAAAACTATTTTGTTCAGAACTGTTCTCCATTTTTGATATTTACATGTTGCTCCCTTTTCTTAAAAAAGAAATTTTTGATTTTTGCTAAGTGATTTTCTTTGTCCAAAATTATCAAGGTTAAATTAATTTTTTAAACCAAAAAGAGAAAAACAAATAAAATAAAAAAATATAAGTTAAACTCCAAACTGAATAAATGAAAATATTTTTAGTTCTAAAAATAAAGAAGATAATTGAAGATAAGGTTTTTTAATTCAGTGATACAAATTTGATTTCCTGCCTTCTACACGAGCATGTAGTGAAGCTTTTGTTTGTTCTACTATTTACTGAATGCTAGAATGCCTCTTCCATGACTAACACAGTCTTTTGCTTTGATAATATTTTGTTTCTTTAACTAAAATAGAGAGTTTGTGCAAGTAAATATGAGCCGCGCCATGACAAAACCAATGTATTGCGTTTGCGACCAGCATGGATCCAGACAAGACTGTGCATCAGCATACCAACCCTATTACAAGTAAAGAAACTGATAGCGAACAGCATGGATCCTGATCAGACTGCGCGGATGCGCAGGCTGGTATGGATCCATGCTGGTCGCAAATGCACTATGTTGGTTATGTCATGACGCTGCTCATATAAGTATAAATATTTGATTATATAAATGTTTGTGAGATAAAGCAGATGAATTTGAATTCAATATTTTGATCACAGTAAGTTGTTATAAATTTCTTACCTTAACAGAAAGCTTTATTTACATTCACCATTGCATATATAAGTTACAATTACTGTCAGTTACAAATTACATCTTTATGTAAGAAATATGCTTAGTACATGTTAGTAAATAAGTAACATCTTTATTTAATGAGGTTTCAAGATCATTCATGTGGGCCTCAGTATAAAAATGATGTATAATAATTATATATTATATACATAATTTTGTCAACATGATATTTGAAATAAATGTTTAATAGAATTATAAAGCTATTACAGTATATGTACGTAAGTCAGTTTCTCATACATCTTACATGAAATTATTTATATATATATATATATCTTACTATATTATTTATCTTTTAACAGCTTCCTCGAGCTTTATTAAACTTTGTAGTGAAGTATAACCTAGAACGTCAGAAAGAGCTGCGGCCCCATCATGATTCATCTACATTCACCATCAATATTGCCCTCAATACTCCAAAACTAGACTATGAGGTAATTATAGTGACTACAAGGTAATTATAGTTACTACGAGGTAGTTATAGTAGTCCTCTTAGTTATCAATTTGTTATTTTGTATTCAAATGTTAAGAGGATATTTTTTCGTTTGAGTGTAATATGTAATATATTTTCACGAATCATGATAAAATGCCACATATTTTCACGAGCCGGCATATCTCATGACAAGTTTGTTCATTTTACATTACACCTATAATGCAGCAAGTATAAAAAGTCTTCACAAAAAGTAGTATGCAATCGTACCTATATTACATACGAATGTATGTAATATTTTTCTTGTTTATGATATGCAATAGTTTTAATTTTGATTGTTGTTGGAATTCATTCCCTGCGGTCTGTAGACCGCAGGGTATTGGTACGCGTTTAACTTTTGAGGCATGGAGGAGCACGTGACCTGTTTTCGGTACATGGAGGAGCATGTGATCTGTAAACCGTACACGATTGGTTAATTGACCTTTTTGAAAACCTAGCTAAATACCGTTTGCCGGTTACGGTTTTACTTGTAGGGAATTAGTCCGAATTACACCTAATTAAGAACAAAAAATTATTACGTGATGATCTAATTTTCTATAATTATTTTACCGTTTAAGGTGGAAAAATTGAATGATGTGTTTGAAAATTATCAATGTTTCTTTGATATCTATCTCAAATTTTACAAACAATAAATTGTATATACTTAAAATCTACAAAATTAAAATATTCGTAGTGGCATCTGCCATAATAAATAGAGATATTTTCTGTGTAAACTTGTGTGTTTACTTTATTTATTTTTTGCTCGGAATTATTCATATAATGGTAGTCCTATTTAATCATTTTCTTTAAAAAAAAATTGTTTATGATCGACCTTCTCCGGTCATCAATGGTCACCAGTTTCCAAAGACCTTCTTCTATATTGATCGTTTATTCAATTGTCAACAAAATTCCTGATACAAACATTGATCCCCCACCCCCCCACCAAAATAATGTTGACAATAGTTAAATGAAATATTTTATATCATTAAAATGTTCACCGCAGGAAACCATTTTACTTGTACCTGTATGGTTTGATTTTGGGTGCTTCAATACCTGCGCCAGTTATCATTTGCTTCATGATATTGTAAATTTTGGTAATTCCCATTGCAACTCTCTTGTACCATGCTTGACCCTCGTTTGGTCTCTCATTTGCCACTGTCAAGAAGAATGGGGCTTCTGGATCAAGCATCTCATTAGGCCTCTTTGATTGATATAATTTGTATAATGTGATAGGGCACTTTTCAGGGGTTTCTGGTATAGGCCAAGCCTCTGCAAATGAAACCAAAATTTTCAATTTTATATTTAATGCAGTAAATTTGTTAAACTGTTGTTACTTATAACCTATAAAAGGGAGACATTTTAAATTTAATATTTTATTTTTATATTTTAAAATTTAATGTTATTTTTACCATACTTAAAAATTGAATATTTATTTTTTTCAAGTGTTATTTGATTTTCTAAGCCAGGTAGCTTAATTGGTTAGAGCATCCCAAATTTAGTTTCTATTCAGATTTGGGAAGGTTTCAGGTTCAACTCCTGATCTGGCTGAATTTTAAATGCACTATTTATTTTTATTTAATAGATTATCATTATCAGAATTAATAAGAGGATATTTTTTCGTTTGAGTGAAATATGGAATATATTTTCACAAAACATGATAAAATGCAACATATTTTCACGAGCCGGGACGGCATTTTTCCAGATTATATCTTTTTAAAAGGTGTTGTACCTGCTATTCCTAGGTTCAGCACCACTTCTAGTTTTGGTTTGGCTCTCGGTGTCATAAATCAGGTACTCTCCGTGGACTATCTGATCTCAATTTTATGTCTCCCCATTTCAGCGTAGAAGCTTCTTTTCCAGTTTGCATACCAAAATTTGATGTGCAAACAAGCCACATGGAATTGAGTAAAGATAGTGGGTTTCCTGTCCCAAGTGTTTCATTTTCAATCATTTTTTGTAGATGGTGGTCTTCTAGGCACTCAGCAGCATGAGGCTTGTTTCATTACCTGTAGCATTTTCAAAAGCTTTTTCAATTTCTGACTCAGTCATATTATCAATAATTGAATTTAATGAATAATTAGTTAGATTTATATCAAGTTCTTGTTGTGCTTCCATTTTCTTTGCAGAAGACAAAAATTAGTTGTTGTGGGATAAAAGTTAAAATAAAAATTCAACTCATTTTTAGCTCACCTTGCACAAAGTCTGTCCACATTTTATTCAAACGACATCTTCTACAATACCACTAGGCCAATATTAATGAAACTTGGCAGGAATACTCTTTGTATGAAGCTCTATCAAGATTGTTCAAAGAATGCCAATCCATGCTAAACTCTGGTTGCTTTGGCAACTAAAAGAAAAAACTTAAAATTCTTATACTTCAAAATGGAAAGGGTTAGAGCTTAGATATTTCTCACAAGGCTTTAGCTTGTTAGTTTTTACAAAGTATATCCAAATTATGGTCTAGAGTTGAACATTTGTCTCTGTTTTGGGAGTTAAATGGGTTTTTTATTGCAAGGTTATATAGAATTTCTTTGAAGCGATAAATTGAGATAGTGTATCTTGTATTTTTTGTCTCAACAGACATTGTTATGAAGATTTTTCTGTTAAAGCATAAGAAAAATGAAAAGTTTGTTGAATGTGAATATTAATTCAAAACAGAGTCAATCAGAATAGCACAAATTTGAGAGCTACAGTGAAGTTGAATTCCCCATTTAATAATGGATTCTTCCATTAATTTCGTAACACATCGGAAAGGAAGACTGTGTCATTTCCGAAATACAATGTGTAAAATATTTCGGTTCTTGACAATGACTTGCACATTTTATTGTGTAAGATATTGCACAAAGAAACGAAAGTGAACAAAAAATGTTTTTTTTTTCCAAAAAAATTAGTTGATTAAGATAAAAGTTTAATTTACATTACGGATATTATTTTTTGTATCCTTCTGGTCTGCGGGAAAAATCATATATTTAAACATCGTCTACACCGGTCTTACTGACGAACGAATTATGTCTAATATTTCATTCTGAGAACAAACAAACGATTAAAATCATTAAAGAATGCATACCAATCAGTCCTTAAAAAACTTTGCCTCAGAAAACATCTGTATCAAATAGAACTAAACCGGTGGTACCACTAAGATACGCAACGGAGATTTTTTGGCGCCATGGACGCAACGGGCGCAACGGAGTGCAAAGTTTAAAATGTGGCGATAAAATACGATTAGCAATGCATTGTTTAAATTTATATTAGTATGTGCTGAATAGAATAATATTTTGAATTTATAGAAATCATCTAAAAACAATATTTTCTATATTATAAGCATTGTATAACTATATATAATGTTGTAATACCACTCATATCTCTGTTGCGCAAAAATTCATTGGCGCAACGGAGATTTATTTTTTTCAAAACTAGCAAACAAAATACTTTTAATTGAATTTGCATTAGTATATACTAAATAAAGTCATATGATGATATTACAGAATCAATGTTAAGGTGACAACAGACACTTTCCGTGGTACTCATATAAATGTCATTTTAACCATATTATTTTAGTAATAATTGTTATTTATTTGAATCTTTGTGCATTAAATGTTGTTCACCATTATAAAAAATCAAAGGGCTGTAAGCTCTGTGGTATTTTCTGATCTTTGCAATCTAAATCATACTGACTATCTGTATGTATTTTCCTATATCAGTTTATTTTTATATACTATAATTCATCTTACGCAGCGACTTCTGTAACAGTTTGAGATTGATACATATGGAATTTTGCATGACTAGAGTTGCATCAAAAATCATTTTTTATGACAGCCACACTTTATCCTTGCATATTGTGGCTAATTCCTTAAAAAAGACACTTCAAAAAAAAGTTGCCTCGACTAGGATTTGAACCTTAGGCCATTCACACCCTAAACGAGCCCGATACGAGCGCGATACCCCTGCACCACGGTGAAGTAATACGTAATATGTAGCCTGAATAAAAACAAATACATTGTAATTCTAAATTGAGAATTTCCATTTCGTGTTTGTAATCCTTATCAATTTCGAGGTATTTTGTTCACAATAAACCTGTTTAACACTGATAAAAATAATTTAGCGAAAATCTTCTCGCCAAAACAGTCCGTCATGTATATATTCCACTACTCGGCAGTGTACTACGCCCTGGAGTATTCAGTAATCGACATAGCATTTTCATTGATTAAAATGATATTCATCCGCGAAATTTGTGATTGTAACCTCATATTTCTATTGACTAATCTGAACTTCCAATGCACTGTAATTCGTTAAATGCCTACATTAAAAAATATTCTGTCTTTTAAATTGCTGGTATTTAAGCAGTTTTGAGTGAGAACTACTTTGCGTTGTTAGGTCTGTTAGGAAATTTTGTGTTAGACCGTGGATGTTAGCTATGTATTTACTGATCTTGCGATCAGAAAATACAAAAACATATTTGAAAAAATGCCTTTGTAAATGATTGATTTTGAATAAAAATCATAAAATTTTAAATCGTCATATCAAAGTCATTTTTATTTTTTTTTTCTCTCGGACCCCTATGTTTCACGCTAAATAATTGCATAATACACAAATATAGCACCAGAGAGGGTCACAAGTTGCGGTAACATACTCTCACAACATTTTATGACCCAGTGACATCTGACCAATTAAAGAGCTGCAGATAAATATCAGTTAATAGCAAAAATTTCTTTAAATCTTAATTTGATTTACTGTCCGTCTGGTATCTGTCGCACATGTCACGTGACTATCTGTAAAATTCGAGGCACTCGGTGGGGGGGGGGGAATGGAACGCATTTGCGCACCGCTAGCGGGGTATTTAATTGCAGGGTTTTACATCTCTTTGAAATTTTAGGGGTCCAGTGGATGCACAGCCTAGAAAAGTAGGGGTCCAGGCCTGAATTTTAGGGGTCAAAAATTATATTCACTATAAAAGACTATGAAGACCACTCTATTTTGCTTAAAATCATT